TGACAGGTATTTAAAGGCTTTCTTTCCCAGATGATAGGCAATTTGCACTTGGGAGATATGAGTGGAAGGAATACACGATATTAAAATTTTCAGACCTCTTTATGTGAGGGGGAAGTGCTGGTTCAAGGATCTAAGCTCTCTTGGACATCTTTATTTTATTTAAAAACAGTGGGGGGAGGCTGATATGAGCTGGTTCACATGTAAAGTAGTGAGCTGATGTTGCTGCTGTGCATTGTTTGAAGCACATTTTCTCCCAATCCAGTTCCAGTCTCAGAAGACAGTTGGACTGGGAGAAAAATACTGAAATCCATCGTGTTTATCAAGGCAAGGGCAGGGTTTGCCTCCCATTGCCAACCCACTTGTCTTTTTGTTAAAAAAGAACAAAGCAAAAACACCCTCCCCACTGCAGACTTGAGGATCCCAGGAGAGAAAACTCTCACATGCCAATTAATGCAGTATCTTCTCCTGCATCTGCTCTGTGATTCAATTTAATCACCTATAAAATGATGACATTTTAACCTACCTGCCTAGAATTCAGAAGGGAGATTCCCTGGGGCTGTAATTCCCAAGGATTTCATGAAGAAAATACTAGAAATTTATTTTCCATTAAAACCAATGGAAATAACTACAAAACGTATTCACTAATCATTTAATTAATCATTACAAACAGCTCTTCTTCTTAAATGACAAAATGCAATTTTTGCATACTCCTAGCAACCACTAAGGTTGTACACCGATCCTTCAAGTCCTGACTGTCTGTATGTACTGCATACATTCCATATCTATTCAAATTTATGCTGAGCAAACAGCCACTGATAAGTATCTGTTGCTACGAAGTCTCTCCTAATGACTCATTGCTAAGCCTTTGTCCAATTTTAAATATTAAACAAATGCTTCTGATTAACTAAGATGTGACATATAAACAGCAGTACTGATACATTCACTTCAGGTGGTGGATTATGGGATGGCAATTCCCATCCTGTCTATCCATCACTCCCATCGCGAGGGTTGCCATTTGCCTGCAACTGGAAGAGAAACCCCCATCAGAGCTCCCCTCACTGGGGCAGCAGGGAAAAATAGGGGTGCAAAATGAAGATCTTCCAAGGCTACAACATCATTTCTGGCTACATAACCGGAAGTAACATTACCATGCCTTGTGCCAACTTAGATTTCACCCAAAGCTCTATGGTTTTCAAAGAGGAGGTAGCAAACCATCATTTGCCAAGGCAACACAAGGTTTGAATGGCTGTCTGTCAACTGAATCCTGGTTTTACAATTTTACAAACTAAACAGTGGAGCCAGAATGTTACTTGGCTTTCCTGCAGACCTTATGTAACATACGTTTCACATCTGCACTTTTGTTTAAACGGTAGATGAGAACAAAGGTGTAGGAATGATTAAAACAAGGTACAAATAAGCAATAGACAGACAGATAGATAGATGTCATTGGTTATTCAGTCACACAACCACATGAAATACTTCTGCTGTTGCAAAACCAAAGACAGCTTCCTTTTGTGTAAAGTCCCTGTCAATATTAGCTAACAAAAATACGTGTTGATTCACTCCTGTAGATGTCCAAAAATATAAATATAAATGTCCCAAAATATATGCCTTGTATTTCTAAAGAAGTCAGATTGACTATCATGAGGAATGACTTCCACTATGCCTTCCCCACATATGTTGAGTCTCAGGTGTTGCCTCTGAAGGAAAGTTAGGCTGCTTCCATACGCATGTTTTTGCTGCCTCTCAAACTGGAGAAGGCTTTTTCGCCTTCCCCACATATGTTGAGTCTCAGGTGAAGGAAAGTTAGGCTGCTTCCATACAAATGTTTTTGCTGTACCCTGCCTCTCAAACTGGAGAAGGTTTTTTTCAGAGCATTCACACAATGTCACCTTCCGATCTTTCTTCTTCCATGGTTTTCCTTGGTTTGCTCCAATGTTTCCAAAACCCACTTTGCTTCAGGTTTTCCAGGAAGATCATCGTCAAAGTGGGTTTGCCCACCACGTAGACAGAAACATGTGGATTTCCCAACCTCCTCACTCATATCAACACCATTCCCCCTCCCTATTCAGTCTCACCCACCATTTCCCCCTCCTACCACCAACAGGCATTTTTTAAAAAATTGGTAGTTGCTATATGGCTATGGTGTACATATAGTTACTACCATTTTTAAAGGCCCCCTCCAGCAGTGTGCATGAAGGGAATGGCAGGCATACCAATGAAAACACTGAGGAAACCCCTGCAAAGACATTCCATTGCCATTGCAAGAGCCTTTGCATTTGTAGCAGCAATGAGTGTGCAACAGAGAATAATTGCTGTGTGGAAGCAACTGAATTGTTATGTTAGTCCTTCCTACAGAACTCAGAACTGCTTCCATGTGCAAAGAGCATTTCCCTGCTGATCTAATGACATGAAAGCAAGTGCTGCTACAATAGGGTTTGCTGCCCCATGCTCTCGTGATCCAATCTTCAGCCCAACAGCTGTCCTTGTGTCTTACCAAATGCGATTCCAGTACAATCAGTGGTAGGAAATCCTATCCAAAGAGCTAGAAGACTCACAAGGAGCAAGGCAGTCAATGTCTTCATGGTGCCTTCGAGTATCAGGTACGATGAGTACCCAGAACAGAACAAAGCTGGTATTTAAACAGACGAAGGTGAGCTGAATTGATTATACTGTCACCTGCCTCACACCTAGTATCAACACATTATAATTTTCACAAACTTTAAATAACTGCATTGAGCAGACTTCACAGACTTCATGTGTTGTTGTATCCATGGCAGATGCCAGAGTGTGTAGGCGTTCAGCGCTGTAATGCTGCAGAACAGACGCCCTTCCTTCAAAGAACTTTGGTGAGCCACAACCTAATTATAAGTCAGTTCCTTCTCACACATGAGGAAGACATGAAGGGTGGGGCTTACCTTGTCAAAAGTCTTCCTATACGCAACTAATACTGGAGATGGTTAGCAGCACTCTCAAGAAAGAGAATGAAACAGACGTGGAGAGCTGACCGTAGCTCATTTGTAAGCTTATGTTTCTCATGCAGAAGTACTGGATTAAAGTTGTGGCATCTCCAGATGAAAGGTTCTCAGCAACGGGGCTATAATATCAAAGGTCAAAATTATCTGTACTAATGGTAACATATGAAATGATGCCTTCATGTTCATGTGCATACATTTGCACGTACATTCCAGCAGACAAGATACACTCTCCCAACACATACCACAGACATTTAACTTACAGGAATCTAGGGAATAGAAGGTTGAGATTTAAGGAACAATCCCACTCCGTGATCTCAATGCCTTTTGTTTTGGAAAAAGAACCCCAACAATTGTTCCTAAGTTTTGACAGAGAAAGGCAGGTCTATAATCTTACAACAAGGAATCCTCAAATCCAAAACCTTGAAACATAACCTTCAATCCAGGCTTTCAAGCAAAGGTCTTCTGGGTCCAGGCTCGGAGCTAAGACTCACTGAAAAAAGAGAGACAGTTAGCTTAGGTGTATTCTTTGTATGTTGCACAGAATTTAAGGGATGAAGATGATGTGAAAACAGCAGCAGCTTTCTGAAATAGGGGGGAAAGGTGCATTATGTGTGCACATGTTCAAGGTGGCTTACAAGAGAGTCAACACATACTTAGAAAGCTAAATCAATCAATTGATATGCATATGATAACCCCAGATGAGTCTATTTACTGAATAACTTGAAAAAGTTTTCTGGAAGATAAATTAATTACAGCCCTTCTGAAAGGACAGTCATGAAGGGGCCCTGCAGACATGTAAGGCAGGTTGTTTTAAAGCTACTACTGGTTGCTGGTGAAGCATGGGAGCTTGCCTTTGCAGTGTGTTCTTGTTGGTAGAACTTAACTAGCATGTGGGTTGATAGGGAGAGAGGTGTTTCTTCACATATGTGCATCCCAGGCTGTGAAAGGCTGAAAAGACAAGAACTTCTGAACTCAAAAGGAGATTAAGGATGCTGCAGATTCCTCAGTGAACCTGTTAGGCAGTCAAATGCATCATTTTTCATTGTCATAATCAGTGCAACTGCTACCAGACAAATCAGGGCATGACACTCAATCCCAAGTAAAAACTGGGTGACTGCAATCTTTACCAGCTGGAGCTTCTGAGTTGTTTTTAGAAGTAGTCCTACATAGAGCTCTAGTTAACCCTGGAAGTCACAGCTATAAACTAGGTATAATGGAAATAAGGTATTCCTAGCAAAAAACACCAACCTGCTTCTCAGCAAGGCTGGATCAAAGAGTAATTTTACACATTTTACCTGATCAGAAAGGGCCACATAAATCCTACTGGTCAGCGCTAAATAAATCCCTTTCAAACATCAGTACTTGAAGCATCCATCGCTAGATAGGTCCATGGTTCAGGGGTAGGGCATCTGCTTTGCATATAGGAGGTACTAGGTTCAAATGCTGGCACCTACAGTTAAAAGGATCAAGAAGAGTTCCACGTGAGACTCTGGACAGCCACTGCTAGACAGGGTAGGCAGTATTCACCTTCACAGATGCACGATCTAACTCAAATAAAATGGGGTGGTGCTGATGAGAAAGCACCTGAAGCTGGAAGTTACAGCTATAAACCAGGTATAATGGCAGCTTCACGCTCACTAGCGCTGCTCCATTTTATCTGGATACAGTTTTCATTTGTTCTGCTTCATCCACTTGACCATCAACTTCCAACAATGAATTAAGACATAGACCTACAGATAACCGTGACTCTTTGTTAATAAAGTGGAAAGCAGAATGTCACCACTGTATTGATGACACCCAACCCCGAAGCTTTGGATGATTTCATTCAGCAGCTTCATATACATATTAAATGGCAGTGGTGACCAACGCTCCCTCTAAGCTGTGGAGTCTTGTGAGCAAAAATCCTACTTTGTGAGCTACTGGCATTAAAGTTGTGAGCGAGCGATTTGGCTATTGCATGAATTAGTTTGCTCTGGAGCCCATCCTTCCTGAGCTAAGACAAAAATGTGTGAGCCGGAGGCCAAAAAACTGTGAGCTAGCTCACACGAACACAGCTTGGAGGGAAGACTGCTGGTGACAATTCTGAAACTTGTGGTATCCTCACATAAGGAATTCCAGAAGGCTGACTTCACCTCTCCAAATATTTCTTCCTACCAATGGCCAAAACTACTGGAGAACTATGTACTGATGTAAGTTGTGTCAGAATATTGTGACTCCAGATTGTCAGTACATACTTAATGGCATATGTTGTGTGTGAATCACCACCACTATGCCAGAAGCCTAATCGGCAGAAAGAGAACCTATCAGTGGAGCAGATGGAAAACTAGTGAAGGAGAAGTGTTGAAACTCTATTTCAGGGAGTATGTCTGTGCTGACAACTGGGGATATAGTTAATATGTTGTAATATAGCAAATATGACATGGAAATATAATTTTCAGTTCACAGCCAAAGAGTACCAGCTATCTGAAGAAGTGAAACGTGAACGCGGCAGTCAAGCCAGCCGTGTATAGCTGTACTCACATAAGACGTGGAACTATTGCACTCCTGAAGTTTTTTATACAGAGGAATTGTGGACTGTAATTGTATTCCTACTTTGTATCAAGTACTTTTTGATCCTAGCTCTTTAAATATATATATATAGATGGGTGGGTTCTTTAACAAAGATTTCAAATTGTTTGAATTGTTTCATACAATATAATTTTCCTGCTTTTGTTCGTAATTCATTCACAGAGTGTCTTTATATTTATACAATCTCCTCCCGTGAGCTCTCATTTTTGATATACAGCCTCCAGGTGGTGGCTGGAGATCTCCTGGGATAACAACTGATCTCCTAGTGACAGAGATCGGTTCACTTGGAGAAAATGGCCACTTTGGAAGGTGGACTCTATGACATTATACCCCACTGAAGCCCCTCCCCTCCCCAAGCCCCACCCTCCTCAGGCTCCACCCCCCCAAATCTCCAGGTATTTCCCAACCCAGACCTGGCAACCCTAGCTGAAAAATAGGGGGGGAGGGAAGCAGAGCTTAGCTCTGCCATATCGAAGGAGGAGCTTAGCTCCACACCCCTCCCCAGATTGGTGGCAGCCAGAACTTCTACACAGAGGCTCTGCCTGGAGCCACCCCACTGTTTCCTCTTTCCCCTTAAAGAGGAAAGTCCCAGGAACCGAATGGGTCATGCTCAGAAAGTCCAATGTAGAACTTCCCTCAACAGCAGGGGCATGCTGTGTTCCAGCAGAGGAAAAAGCCCTGTGAGGAAGAAACCATTGTGCGACTGCTTCCTTTCCATTTCCCTCTTCCCACGAAGTGTCAGTAATCCATAGCCCTCAGAGCTCTTCCTGGCTAGATTTAATGAACCTAGATGTCCAAGGATCTAATTTGCGACTGGTGGCCTTCATAACTGCAAGTCACCTGTCAACAACAGTCAGAGTAAGCAAACTGAAATGAGACAGGCAATTGCCACAATCCATTCCACAATCCTGGCCAGAAGGACTTAAAGGGACCCTTCTGCACCCCTAAAGCGAGGGAGGAGCCCCTCGCACCTGATCTCTGAGCGCGAGGGGCTGGCCTGGCCAGAAGGACTTAAAGGGACCCATCTGCGTCCCTGAACTGGGGGGAGGAACCCCTCGCACCTGACCTTCGAGCAGCAAAGCCACTTGGAGATCAGGCGCAAGGGGCCGGGCTGGCCAGTAGGACTTAAAGGGACTCTTCTGCACCCCTGAAGCAGGGGAGGAACCCTTTGCACCTGATCTCTAAGAGATCCAAGTGCCTTCAGCCTTCCCAAGGCTCCCCCAATGCTTGGACTGGGGGGGGGAGAGAAAGGAGAAGCTGAAGGGGCTTGGATCTAAGAGATCGAAGCCACTTCAGCCTTCCCTTGGCTTGCCCGATGCTTGGGCAGGGGGTGGGGAGAGAAAGGCTTTGCTGCTCGTAGATCATGCGCAAGGGGCTGGGCTGGCCAGCAGGACTTATAGGGACACTTCTGTACCCCTGAAGCGGAGGAGGAAGGGGGTTGGAACACCATCCCAATGAAGAGAGGCTGAAGAGTCTTGGACTTTTCAGTTTAGAAAGTGACGACTAAGGGGGGACATACTAGAGGTTTATAAAATTATGCATGGGATGGAGAGAGTTGACAAAGAGGAATTTTTTCTCCCTCTCCCAAAATACTAGAACTTGAGGGCATCCAATGAAACTGAGGCACAGTAGGTTCAGGACAGACAAAAGGAAATACTACTTTACACAGAGTGATTAAAATGTGATTAAACAGAGTGATTAAAACGTGGAATTGGCGGCTAGAGGATGTAGTGATGGCCACAGGAATAAACTGCTTTATAGAGGATTGGATAGATTCATGGAGGATAAGTCTGTCAATGGCTACTAGCCATGGTGACTGAGGGGAACCTCCACTTTCAGATGCACTAATTCTCTGAATCTCAGAGCCAGGAGGCAACATCAGGCAAAGGCCCTGTTGTTGGCTGTCCAGAGGAACTGGTTGGCCACTGTGTGAGACAGGATGCTGGCCAAAATGGACCATTGGTCTGATCCAGCTGGGCTCTCCTTAGATGCTTCATTGATCACGGCATTTGACAAGTTGATGAGGTGATAGAAGAGAGAGAATTGCTTTCT